GACGGTCTTTCGTCGGCTTGGGCCTCCGCGGGCCTTCGCTGGGCCCACTGACCGTCAACCAACGGCGTGGGACGAGGGACTAGCCTTCGGTAACAGGTCGGGACGTCGGACAGAGCGCGTTCTGCCGCTGCTGGCAATCCCTCTCCCCAGTTCGAACCGGGGTGCGGGGGCCGAAGCCGCTTCCCGTTCGAACCTGGGGGGGTCCCCCCCGGGGTTTGGACCCAGGGGTTGGGGGATTTGCCAAGAGCGACGACGACGCCAGCGACGACAGCCACCTTCGCCACGACGACCCAGACGGCGACGACAATGATGACGGCGGCGACGACCACGATGTCGACGACGACGACGACGACGACGACGACGAGTGAGTGCCAGTTGGGCGTCATTCAAGTTGGACCGAGCCCCACTGACATTGCATTAAGGCTGACTCGAGCCCGGATAGGTTAGCTGACCCAGTCTAGAAGGGCTGGATCGAGCCTAAGTAGTATTCGACTAGAATTGGACCCAACATTCGCAGCAGGATTTGATTGGAGATGGATCAAGTTCTTGCAATATCCCATTAATTCTAGGCCTCCTAGATGGGGTCGGAGTAGATGGGGTCGGAGGATCGCTCCGCATCGCCGATGCATCGCCGATGCGGCTCGATGTGGAGCCCGATTTGCTTCACGTCGACGTCGCCGATGCAATGCCCACGTCGACGATGCATCGCTGGTGCATCGCCGATGCATCGCCGATGCGGCGCGATCCTCCGACCCCATCTACTCCGACCCCATCTAGGAGGCCTCTATTCATTAAACTTGGATCCAGCCTAAGTAGGATTCAGTAACATGTTCATGGAGCCTTTGTACAATCCGTTGGATTTGATCGAACCCTCGTAGGGTGTTATTTCCAGTTGGATCCAGCCCTAATGGCAGAATTCGACTAAAGCTAGATCGACCTTTTTGTAAGATTCCAGCTTCTGTGGGTCCAGCTCTCTTGAGGCTCTTAGTAGGACTGGGTCCAGCCCCTGTACGGGCTGGATCCAGCCCAGAAGGAGTGCAGTAAAGCTAGATCTAGCCGATCTAACCGTCGCAACAGGATTCCATTAGAGCTGGATCGAGCCTTCATGGCCCTCGTCGTCGGCAGCGTCGTCGTCGGTGTTATATACATTATCCGGTCCTATCATGGAGTGCTGTGTACATTTGACGTCCAGCCCGCCCGCCCGATCGGACGCCCCATCATAGAGCGAAGTTTGCAGTTCATGCCCCGCCCAGCCGAGGGCTGCCTTCCGCCCCTCCCCCCCCAGGTTCGATTCTCGCTCTTCGAGCTTTTGGCGCGTCTCGCGGGCAGCTTACAGCGCTATCGTCCCCACGGATGGATCAGTTTTCGAATTCTGGCCGTCATTGCCCCCCGGGAGCAGGTCTTGGGGGTGATTTGTACACGCCCGATCGTGTTGGCGAGCGTTCGGATCCGGCCGACGCAGAAGGCAGTCACGGATGAGAGGCTTGGGATCGATCCCCCTCTTCTTGCGTTTCCGTCCTTCTCCTACTCCTGTTTCTCTTGTTTCGGTATCTTTATGATTGCCCTCCCTCCTCCCTCCTGCTCATCATCCCTGCTCCCTCCAGCTCGGTTTCAGAGGCTCGGGGGTTACATTGGAATTGACAGGTACCGTCGAGTATGGTCGTGTTCGTCTCGCTGTCTTTCGCCACGACATGTACGTCTATGTTTGCAGCTGCGCTGCTTCGAACAAAGTGGTACCGTTGCCTCAGTCGTGCGTTTGACTGTTGCATGCGCGGGTACCTTTCGCGCGGCACGTTGGCCCTGCGTGTTTCGAAGAAGAAAGGACGCCATAGACATAAACTGTTGGCGCTCCGCGCGGATTTCTTGGATCCGCGCTGGGCCCCCCCAGTGGCGCCTCTGGCGCCGCCCCTGGCGCGCTCCGCGCGCCAGGGAGGGGGGTCCAGGCCAGATCCAAAAAAATCGCGCGGAACGCCAAACAGTTTATGTTTATTGCGTCGTTTATTCTTCTTAGAGGAGTAGGAGATCGGGGAGTGAGGGACGGATCCTGGGAGGAGGAGACAGGAGGGCATGCGCGGAGGGGAACTACGATAGGGCACCCGCCACTCCCAAGAAGCGAGGAGGAAGCCGAGGAGGGAAGAGGAGGGGAAAGGATCGGAGGCAGGTCGTGGAGAAGGAGGGGCCGGAGGCGCAAGAGGAGGATGAGGAGGAGATGCAAAAGCGGCAGCAGAAGCAGCATCAGAAGCCAGGAGCAGCGAATTGGTAGGGAGACGCAGCACACAGGGAGGGGGCACGAGGCTGCAAGGAGGAGGGAGGAAGCGAGATAGAGGGAAGGAGGGAGATCAGGCGGGAGGATGAGAGGGAGAAGAGGAGGGGATGGAGGAAGAGGGACGGTGACCGGAGAAAGGAGAGGCGCAGGGAGGAAGAAGGATGATGAGTCGGGGAGAAGGAAGGAGAGGTCTTGGAAGAGGTGAGAGGATGGAAGAGGAGGAAGGAGTTTTGAGCCAGGAGGCTGGAGAGGGAGGAAGGAGGGAGGATGTGGGAGGATCGAAACGGAGCAGGAAGCACGAAGTGAGGAACACGGAGGAGCGAGGGTAGAAAGAGAGAGAGAGAGAGAAAGAAAGAAAGAAAGAGAGAGAGAGAGAGAAACAAAAAAGGGAGGGAAGGAGGGAGGCAATGCGGAGGAGGTAGTATGGAAGGCCGCGAGAAGTCGGAGAACGGAGGAAGGCAAGGAGGGGGATAGGAGTTGGGAGGGGAGAGGTTGGCAATAATGAAGAGGAAGGACGGAGGGAGCGAGCAGGGAGCAGGGAGCAAGACGAAGGGATGAGCAACGAGGGAGGACTACGACGACGACAGGGAAAGAGCGAGGAGGTTGAGGATGAGAAGAGAGGGAGAAAGTACAGGTGTGAGGGGAGAGGGGAGGGAGTGTGAGGGCGGGAGGATGGATGGATGGCGGGTGGGCGGTGAGTGGGCGTTACGAGAACAGCCGTTGGAGGAAGGTCATCCTCATTCCAAAAGAATCAGCACTGCACGGGAGGATGAGGAGGGGATGCAGGGATCGGGGGAGAGGTTCACAGGGAGAGAGGGGAGTGGTGTAGAGGGGAGGAGAGGGGGAGAGAGAGGAAGGACCAGGAGGATGGGAGGGAGGAAGGAGACGGAGGAGGGGGAGAAGCAAGAGGAGGAAGAGGAGGAGAGGGCGGATCAGCATGATGGGTTCGGATATTCAGGTTTGTGTGCGCAGTTGTGTTCAACGGGGCTCTCAACCCTTTCGCCGCTCACCTCTCCCCTCTGTTAGTGGTTCTATGGTTTCCTGAGTTCCTTGCTTGCCTCGATGTTCTGCAAGTCCCACCCTACCCGCCTCCGCCCCAGTTTTTCCCCAGCTTGGTCGGAGCCAGAGTCCCAGATTTATATGCGGTCTAGTCGTTCTTTGTGTGAGGGTTCTGCCTTGTAGTTCTGGAAGTGGAAGGAAGAGTAGCAGACAGAAGGAAGAGGACAGGAGAGGAGGTGAGAGGAGAGGAGATGCGAGGTGAGCAGAGGAGAGGAGAGGAGACGAGAGGAGAGGAGGAGGAAGAGGAATATGAAGAGCAGCAAGATCAGCAGCAGCAGGAGGAAGGGACGTGACAGAAGTGGCAGCGACAAGAAAGCAATCGGATCCAGAAGTGTGGCCCGCGCTTGGGCGACGGCACCATTCCGGACGACGGGAGCAATGAATTGATCCCGAATTGCGGCCAGCGATGCAGCGGGAGCGCCTTTGGAGGACCTCGGGCGCCCCAGATAGGAACGTTCGCACGAAGACATGTTGAAACCCTACGTGCAGAAAGCCGAGTTAACATACAAAAACGTGCAGGAGGGGCGAATCAAACTCCTAGCCGTTAGGGGGAGATGAGGAGGAGGAGGAGGAGGAGGAGGAGGAGGAGGAGGAGAAGGCATTGGAGATGGAGTTGGAGCAAGGAGAGGGGAACAGAAGGACAGGGAAGAGGGTCACGGTGAAGGGGGACTGTGAAGTGGGCGCCCGCTCCCACGCGGGTACCGCTCCTCCAGGAGCACATCGGCAGGCTCGACGGCGCGGTCGAGCACGCCCTCTCCGCCGTGCTCGCGGTGGGACGGGCTCCCTGTCCTCCTCCCCCTCCGTCCTTCTGTTTTCCTCCTCCCCTCCTCCTCTACCTCCTCCTCCTCCTCCCCTCCTCCTCCTCTCCTTCTCCTCCTCCTCTCCCGCCTCTGCTGATCTGCACGCCATCACCCATGAGCTGCTGCGCTGGCTCAGCAGCGAGCGGTTGCGTTGTAGTGAAGTCTGGGCCTATCTTCTGCACGGGAGCAGAGCGAGGGATAGCGATAGCTCGAGACCCGAATCTCGCACTGCGGCAGCCTCATGGCTGGATGGTGTCAACCACAAGGAGGTCATGGACCGACGCGGGTCAATGGGGAGGTATCAGAAGCTTGAAAGAAGGCGAAGTGCTCGCAGGGCAGGGTCAGTGTGTTGATTTGTTGGTACTACTATCACTATTACTACTACTACGACTACTACGGTCACGCCCGTTTCTTATACATACGACGACGACGACGACGACGACGACGACGACGACGACGACTACTACTACTACTACTACTACTACTAGCACTACTACTACTACTACTACTACTACTACTACTACTACTACTACTACTACTATTACTACGACTACTACTACTACTACTACTATTACTACTACGACTACGACTACTACTACTACTACTACTACTACTACTACTACTACGACTACTACTACGACTACTGCTACTACTACCACTACTACTACTATTACTACTACTACTACTACTACTACTACTACTCATACTACTACTATTACTACTACTGCTACTACTTGTACTACCACTACTAGTAGTAACTAACTACTACTACTACTACTACTACTACTACTACTACTACTACTACTACTACTACTACTACTACTACTACTACTACTACTACTACTACTACTACTACTACTACTACTACTACTACT